TAAATTTTAATATTAACATTTACTAAAAACTTCACGTATCTACTATCTATGGTAATTTGTTTTAGAATTACACCAAGATCTCGTAAATATTCCTGTTTTTCATAATTTWTTTTTGTTTTTTTCAGTACCTAGTCTTGAAAACTATAACGGAATTTTAAATTTTAACCTCCTCAACGTACTAACTAGATTCATTTTCCCACCAGATAAGCTAATGAAATTGAAAATTAAAGCATTATTTTTTTTTACAAGCATTCAAAGTTTGAATTTTGACAACATACGTAAAAATCACGAAAATTCGCAAATTATTTTAAGCTAGAAATACATAAAAAATTTTCTTTTGAAATTTAAGATTTGAAAACTTTTAATAATCTATATTTCTATAATATATCCTAAATAGATTAATTGTCTCCGCTCAGAATCGTTTTTCATATACAATGATATAATATCATTGGGTTTAAATTTAAATCCACCTATCAAAGTAACCCACTGGGGGACGAGGTGGCCGAGCGGTCTAACGCGTCAGCTGTGGCTCAGCCGGACCGGGTTCGATCCTTGACCATCGGGCGACATTTTTCTCCGGGCAAGTCGCAAGTCACGGTGTCCGAAGAACAAGTGCCTTCATTCTCCACTCCAGGGCATGGCAGAAACCTACGGGTGCCCCAATAGAAATTCTGCCAAATAGGCATCCAAACTAGGCCTTTTCGTGCCTACTCCCGGACATAGCGCCATACGAAAAAAAAAGTAACCCACTTGTAACCTACCATATAGCAGAGCGAAATCCACGACTTACCCACTTTTTTCATGTTATAATATCAAAAGATTGTTATTTTTTAGTATAAAGTATACTCGTAATGCTATATTTGAAAGTCTATCTTGTTCATTTGAGTTACGAAAAAAATGTTCTCATATCTCGCTCACCTGATGCAGATGTCACTGGTAGGTATAGTTAAAAATATTATGATGCTGATAAATATATCGAAAAACTGTAGAAGTCAACCCTTTCTTGATAATATAGTATCTACGAAATCAGAAAAAAATAGACATTAATAATATTAAGACGCTTCATACTAGACTGACTGGTTATAAATTGTTCATTCCTTCGCAGGACATACTTTTGCTTTTGGTGTCGTTAATCATATTTTGTAATAAAAATATTTTTAATTTCGGTTATAGGTAAAGGCTGCAAAAGAAACGATGATGTGATCGTAATTTCAGACAAAGAAGTACTTATATTTTTTATTCAAATTATTTTATTTTATGTATATTACTAGATATTTTACCCTCTGACTTTMCAATTATAAAATTACTAATACATTATATGCGTTATATGAAAATATGGAATGACATTTTAAATAATTGAATATAAGCCATAAGGTTA